GGAGGATGAATCAGAAGCATGAACAACGAATGGTAAGGGCCAAGTAAGTTTGCAGAACAAGGTTATCTCTAGCATTTTGAGGCATACTGATGATCTAGTTTAACGTGCTGATACCGGTATTCATGTGGTAAGAGATAGTGTCTGTAGACACAAAGTGTTTCTTGTTCTTGATGATGTCAATGAGATGTTTGAGTTTTTCAAAACATGAAGACTTTTCAGCAGGATGTAGAATTTTTTTTTCCGTTGAATAAGTTACTCTTTTATTTCTCCAAAAAGAGACCACTTGCAAAGCACAAATGGCAAACCAATACAACGAAAGGAAAGGTCGGAATGAGCAACCCTATAAAAGAAAGATCCTCTACCCCAAACATTTCCTCCACAAAACAACCCGTAACAAAACTGCTACCATTCTCCTATGTACTCTCTATCAGTCCTAATACCCTCAGTCCTTCTAACAAATCATCATTATCTCGACAGACAATATGCAGTTCAACACTAACCTCACGAACTAATTCCTCCACAGGTTTACTTATAGCACCATAAACACGCCTGCACCTTTCTTTCCATACCCCAGCGCTGCATAAGCACCAGATAAGACTGGTCACTCGTCCCACCTTCGCCTTGATGCAACTAGCAATACCTGCAGCAACAGTAGCTTCCCAAGAGCCATAACAAAACACTCCCATATGCAGTGCTGACACAACTTGGCTAGAGTAGATACATTTAAAGAACAAGTGCTCTCGGGTTTCCACTTCAACACCACAAAACACGCAAAAACCATCAGTCTGCTTACCCTATTGCATCAGTTGTAGTTTAGTAACAGTGCCATTCACCATGATAATCCATGCCAAAAAACTATTTCTGGGAATATGACTCTTCCCCCATATAAGCTTTGCCCAATCCACCACCTCATATTTAACTCGCAAGGTATTCCAAACCATAGAGGCTTTAAACGCAGGCATAGGGTTGTTGTCCCAAAGAATTTGATTGTTCCTCATCAATAGATGAGGCTGGACCACAGGGCGTAGCTTGAGGATACGTCTCCAAGCCCAGGAACTGCTCTGATTGGCAGGTACAGTCCATATACTTCTGTTCTTGATCTTATATTGCTGAAACCAAGCCACCCAAATTGCTCCACTTTTCATCAAGAATAACCAAATGAACTGAACAGTACAGGCTTTGTTCTAGGCAGTAAGCTCACGTAAACCCAAACCCCCTTCCTTGCGAGGCCTAGCCATACGCTCCCAACTGACTTTAGCACGCCCTTCTTCCCCCCATGCCAGAGAAACTGGGAGCAAACTAATTGAACTTGCTTGATCACTCTTTTGGGCGGAATGAAGATCTGCATCCAATATTGAAGAGTCCCCATCAAAACCGATGTTACTAGCTGCAGCCTTCCAGCATAGCTAAGTTTCTTTGATCTCCAGGAATTGATCTTCTTCGTAATGAGGGCCACCAGCTTATCAGTCTCACTAGAAGGTAGCTTCCTTGAGATTAGGGGCATTCCAAGATGCCAAACAAGTAAAATTCCCTCTGCAAAACCTGAAAGCTGCAAAGCATTTTGTTTAAACTGCACATAATTCCCACCAAGATACACATCACACTTTCCTGGATTACACTTTAGCCCAGAGATAGTGTGGAACTCCTGCAATATGCCCTGAACCCTCTGAATAGTTTGGCCTGACCCCTCTGTGAATATAAGGAGATCATCTGCAAAGCACAAGTGGGTTAACCCCACTCTCTTACACTGAGGATGGAAAGCCAGCTCCCCTGCTGTTGCAACTCGATTCAAAAGCAGTGATAACCCCTCCATCGCAATTGTAAATAAATAGGGAGAGAGGGGGTCCCCCTGTCTCACCCCCCTTTGCGTCCCAAAGAAACCACACAATCCACCATTAATGCAGATACTGAATTTTGCAGTTTTAACACACAATCTAATCCAGTAGATAAACCTCTGAGGAAACCCCATAACTTCCATCATAAAAAACAAGTATCCCCAGTGAACATGATGTAGAATTTTGATCACAACTAGAGACAAAATTTTGAACTTGTATCAATAGCACAAGTTGTATGAACTTGAAGAGATGAGTCGCGACTGTTTGCTTCAACTGTTTAGCAATTTTGAATGGACTACCCTCCAGAAAATTATACAGCTCTGTCAGAAAAAATTGTACAAGCTGCATGGGTCCCTCCTAGTAAGATTCAAGAAAGCCTGAGGATGAGTTACGATGCATTAACTTACGGGGAATAACAAACATTTCTTTATATGTTGCTTTGTTTCTTTATTGGAAGGACAAAGTTTTGCCAATATATATGTGGAGTGACTGCAGGTTTTATCCATAAAGTGGGGTTGAGACTCTTGTTCTGAGGTCCTTGATCAAATTTAACAATGATCATATCATAGATTTAGGTAGAGCTAATTATTCGACTTGGATAAACAAGCGCAACAGAATATAGTACAACGAGAGTGCTCTAGACATCTTAAGCAACAAAGAGGTATGGCAGTGTTCATCTGTCTACTTGGAGGAACTGCAATTTGAACATTCTGAAGTTGAGCTCCGAATTCCAGGGAATATATGAAAGTTGTCCAAGTTGAAGACTTTGATCCTCATAGCCTGTGAGATTTTTCTCATGGGAGAGAGTGTTATCCCTTCATCTCTCAATAGACGGGTTTAGCATCAATGGCAGAGCTATCGACGTGATTACTGCAGATCGATGACGAAGCTAGGCAATATCTGCGTTCTCAGAAACTTGAAGAACATGCAGATATTGAGATGCCAACCGATTGATTCAGGTTACAGAACTTCAGTTCCCAACCATGCTTTCCCCGCGACGGCTCCTGTAATGATTCTTGTATGTCCTAAAGGTTTAGTTTGGGGTGTGTTTTGTAATTGTGCAGTTATGCTGTCATGAAAAAGGGAATCGAATCAGTAAATTACAGATATTTTCCTCAATTCTTTCTCAATCTCTCATCTTTCCCCTCTTCCTCTGTTCTTTCCTCATTCCTACCCTCTTCTTCTCAATTCCTCCATTTCTCCTATCAATTTCCCTCTTGCCTCTGTGCTTCTTGGCTCCGAAGCATTCAGTTCGTCTCCATGATTGGAGAGAAAAGTTTTTTTGATGAAGGTGAAGAATGCATTAAAGATAAAAGAAACAGAGTATAATACAGAGGGGCTGCACAAGAGGTGCAGCACACAAGGAACAACCAAAAAAAGATAACTCTGCCAGTGAGAGCCCAAGCAAAGCCGAGAAGAAAAAAAGTGAAAACCACAGGGAACACATGAAAGCAAAGAAACCAAATGACCCAACAGCGAGACCCAAGCCACAAAAGCCTAGCCCTCACAAACCAAACATCTCCTACCACTGCTACTAACCGAAGCCAAGGGAGGTCTCAGAGCTGCGACGAATATCCAACATCCACTCCTCGCCCTGCTCCCTGCTGATCTTGCCATGAGCAATCAGGGCATCCACAATTAGAGTGAGGGCCTTCTTAAGAATATCAACAACACCTGCCCCTGAAAACACGGCTGTTTCTTTCAAGCCACACCTGCCAGCAGATCACATGAAGTGCACAAAAACCAATCCAATCGACGAGATTATCAGGATGGTCGCAGCTCCATCTTCTAATGGTACTTAACATATCACCGGACGGCGGGGCAAAGTTGGAGCACACTCTGCCAACCGCAATCCAAACTTGCTTGGCGAATTCACAATCAATAAATAGATGGTTGATGCTTTCCTCCGCTTTGTGACACATATAGCAATGATTGGCCAGCATCCAACCTCTCTTCTGCAGGTTATCCAGCGTGAGGATCTTCTTGTGCGCGACCAGCCATATGAACACCCTGATTTTATGCGGGACAAAATTCCGCCACACTGACTCGTCCGGAAAGCTTCTCACACCTGGAAATCTGATTCAAGTTACAGAACTTCATTTCCCAACCATGCTTTCCCCGCGACGGCTTCTGTAATGATTCTTGTATGTCCTAAAGGTTTAGTTTGGAGTGTGTTTTGTAATTGTGCAGTTATGCTGTCGTGAAAAGGGAATCAAATCAGTAAATTACAGATATTTCCCCCAATTCTTTCTCAATCTCTCGTCTTCCCCCTCTTCCTCTGTTCTTTCCTCCTTCCTCCCCTCTTCTTCTCAATTCCTCCATTTCTCCTATCAATTTCCCTCTTTGCCTCTGTGCTTCTTGGCTCCGAAGCATTCAGTTCGTCTCCATGATTGGAGAGAAAAGTTAAGAAGGTAAAATCCGTTTATTCTGCTCTCCTGCGAATTGTGTTTGTTACCCTTTCTTTGCTTCCCAACATCTCGAACCCGCTCCATTTTCTCGTTTCTAGGGCTATTAGAGATGATAATGGTGAAATCTAGCTCCAAAGACTTTTACCTGGAATTTTTTTCTCGAGCAATTACCTTGTATGATGGTTGTGGAAAGTAACATTTACTTCTGGGCTGGGAATTCACATTCAGAAGTTTTTGGGGCTGGGTTACGCTCAATCGGTGGGAAACCACCTTCCCCGCTGCGAAGGTGCCAATTCCGCGAATGTTCCATGATTTGAATGGTGGATAAAGCCTTGTTCTTTTTCGTTTACAATATCAATTTTGTTCAGTATGGGGGTTTATCCTTAGGTTATGCGTTGATATGTGGGGATATAAAATGAAGAAAAGATGGGTTGCTGGATTAGCACGATGCTTCATCCTTCGATCCTTCATTCCATCCCATGTTCCTACTGTTTCCGCACTTGATTTTCCGAGTAGTTTGAAACTTGCTTATGCAGCTCATTGCACTGTAAAAAGAAGCAACTTTGATCGTCCTCTAGGGTATACCATAAATATTATTCGTGGGTCTCCACAATCTATTGCAATGGATGAAAGCAACACACTTAACTAACTGATTTGCTCATCTAAAATATTTGGGTCATCTGACTTGGTTTTCTCCTTGTGTTCATTTGACTGTTGCAGAAAATTCTACGTTTTTTTCTGGGGTAATTTTCAAGAAATGGCGTCTCTTGCTAGAGCTTCACCGCCATCATCAATCATTAATGTTCATCGTAGGGCTTTGAAATTGTTGAAACCTCCATCTACATGCCAAGTCGGCAGCTTCCCCAGATATCGTCTATCAAATCGTTCCGGTATTCGCTGCACAAAATCAACCCCATGGGAACCTTCACCGCCTGTTACATATGCTCTTGGGGCTGGAGATGAGAGCAATGATTTCTTGAATAAACCTGCCAATTTGTTCGAAACGCTGAGTTCTGATGGAACAGCTGAAGAACCATCTACCAAGAGTGAAGAACAGCTCGCACAGATAAAGACACAGCAGGAGGGCCCTAAATTCCAGTTCCTGAAATGGCCGCTGTGGTTTCTAGGCCCTGCTCTTCTTCTTGTCACCGGAATGGTGCCAACTCTATGGCTTCCACTATCCTCAGTTTTCCTTGGACCCAACATAGCGAGCTTGCTCGCTTTAATTGGACTGGACAGCATCTACAACCTTGGAGTCACACTGTATCTTCTCATGGCCGATTCTTGTGCTCGGTCTGGAATCCTGCCACAGGCATGCAACAGCCAGCCGCCGTTGGCTTACAAGTTCTGGAACATGGTCTCCGCCGTAGCTGGATTCGCGGTACCACTGGTGATGTTGGGTTGGTCGCAGAAGGGTTTGCTTCAACCACAGCTGCCTGTATTCTCCTTTGCCATTCTAATGGGGCCTTACCTCCTGCTTCTGTCTGTGCAATTCCTGACCGAGTTGCTCACTTGGAACTGGCAGTCACCGGTCTGGCTGGTGACCCCGGTTGTGTACGAGACTTATCGGGTGTTGCAGTTGATGAGGGGTTTGAAGCTTGCGACCGAGCTCAATTCGCCCGTGTGGATGTTGGACACGATTAGGTGGTTGGTGTCTTGTTGGATACTGATTCTGGGTGTTCAGCTGATGAGTGCGGCCTGGTTTGCTGGTTATTCTGCTCGAACGACTCAGCAACAGAAGCAAAAGTCGTCTTCTGCTGACCCTGGCAGTGGCTGGTGATCACGGCTTCCCTTGGTGTTCAGCTACAACAATGACAGAGGTTCGCTGTTGTGGGATTGTGATTGATGGCTGAAAGTTACATCTGTACCGGATATCAGGATGCAGAGATTTTGCTTCCAGAATGCAGATTATTATTAGCTTAGTTGTGGGTTGAAAGAATCAAGTTAAACCGAATAGCATAGTATTGTATTAGAGCATTTGTATCTTTCCATGTACATATCGAAACACTTGTCCTAGCATTAGAAACTCCATGTTACGCTATCTCAGCTCCTCACAGTTCTATCTCTGAATTCGTTCTTACCGCAGCTGTAGTTTAAGCATCAAGTGCTAACGGACGAGTATGCAAGATCACAAATTCGCCATGCATCATACTATCATGAAAACATCTGAAGATGAATATTATTATATATTGTCATATTATGTATACACATTTTCAGGATCCAAATCTCGCATCTTCTTTGTTTGATGCTAGTATCTCGTCAGCTAAAACATATAAGGGTTAATACCTTATTTTGGCCCGAACTATGACCATATAATCAACTTTGGCCCGTGGTTTCAGAAATTAACATCCTGGCCTCAACTATGCAGCATATAGACTCAATTGGCCCGACACATAGTTTGACCGTCAATTTGGACGGTCAACTCCATTGATCGTTAGTCAACATGCCATGTCAGCCTAAAAATTATTAAAAAAATTTAAATTCAAATTATTTTCCTAATTTCTATTATTTATCATTTTACAATTAACCAAAAAATAAAATTCTAAAAATATAAAATAATTTTTTTGTGATATTTGAAAATGATAAATTTTATAAATTAACCAAAAATTATCAAATTAAATTTTATAAATTTAAAAGTTATGATATAAATTATATTTTGGTGGGAAGTTTTAAAAATATAAAATAATTTGATAATTTTTGGTTAATTTATAAAATTTATCATTTTTCAAATTATCCAAAAAATAAAAAATCAAATTTATTTTATGTTTTTTATAATTTATTTTTGGTTAATTTAATAATAAATAAGAAAATTAGAAAAATAATTTGAAATTTGATTTTTTAATGATTTTTAGGCTGACTAGGCAATGACATGGCGTGTTGACTAACGGTCAACGGAGTTGACCGTCCAAATTGACGGTCACACTATGTGTCGGGCCAATTGAGTCTATATGCTGCATAGTTGAGGCCAGGATGTTAAATTTTGAAACCACGGGCCAAAGTTGATTATATGGTCATAGTTCGGGCCAAAATAAGGTATTAACCCAACATATAACCAAATCCAATAATTTGAGAACATTCCTGCTCTCATATTTTCCTGACGTGGCCATACTTTGGCAAACAAACCTTTTCTTTCATCAATGCTAGTTGGTAATGTAGCACTTTTTTTGTTTTTTGTTTTATCTAATCTTTCAGTTTGCATTTTGAAAGTTTGATTCGTTCAACCTCCTCTTTGTTTTTGGTTTTGGCCAACGAATTTTTCCTGCTGGCTTTCTTTTCTGGACATAACAAATGCAAACAAACTTCCAAACTACAATACAACTCATCCACTCTTTGAACTGGTTTTTCCAAGGAATTCACTACGGCCAATTATTTTATACCTTACTAAGTGGGCTAAGATCAGGTGACTAAGGGGGTCCCCTTAGTCACTTGCCTAAGTCAATCCTAGTCTTTCAAGTTCATTAAAATCCAATGGATCTAATTAATTCAAATTAATGAAGGGTAGTGTAGTAATTACATGATTCATGATTATTTTATTTTCAGAAATAAATAATTAAAAAATCCAACAGTAGCGACCCCGGCCGTCCAGCCCGTTTCCTCGCCGATCAAAATTTCCCGGCAGGCCGTCTCCTCGCCGTGGTGGTGGTGGTGGAGGGGCGCCATGAACCGGAGAGGTGCCCCCCGCCACCGCCGCCAACGTGGCCCGACCCGAACATGTCACCCCCTCCTCCTCCTCCTCCGCCGCAACTGCTGGACGAGTTTCCGGATGCCGTCGGCCTGTTGCTGTTGTTGTTGTCTCCGCCGCCGCTGACGGGGGACTTGGAGGAGGGGTGCTTGTTCAAAAAAAAAAAAAAAACGTTCCTGCCATTGCTCTTTCAAAAAAAAAAAAAAAACGTTCCTTCCATTGCCAATGCCATTTATTTTTTGGTTCGTCCCAGTGCCATTTATTTTTTTGGTTCGTCCTAGAGAGAGAGAGAGATTCTGATCGGAAACTTTTCTGGTCGGAAATTTTTTTTCCGGCAACCATCGTGGACGGAGAAGAATTTTCTGGCGACAGTGCCAATTTTGTAATGTTTGTTGACATATTTTGTAATGCTTGTACGCTTTGTTATTTTGTAATGTTCGTAAACTTTGTTATTTTTGTGCACCATGTTTATCATTTTTGTCAACCATGTTTGTAATGTTTTTTATATCTAAAAAACAACCTGGTTGACTTTTGGATGGAACTTCTCTATATAGGGATGGAGCCTCCAAAGTCAACCCGGGTGTTTTTCCCGTTCGTATGGATTGTCGGTCTAGTTTGTCATTTTTGTCCACCATGTTCGTACTGTTTGTATGTCTAAAAAACACCCGGGTTGACTTTGGGAAGGAGCCCCTCTATATAGGGATGGAGCCTCCAAAGTCAACCCGGGAGTTTTTTCCCGTTCGTATGGATTGTCGGTCTAGTTTGTAATTTTTGTCCACCATGTTCGTACTGTTTGTATGTCTAAAAAACACCGGGTTGACTTTGGGAAGGAGCCCCTCTATATAGGGATGGAGCCTCAAAAGTCAACCCGGTTGTTTTTTCTTTTTGTATGGTTTGTATTGTTTGTCGGTCTAGTTTGTATTGTTTGTACAGTTCATACGTTTGTATATTTTTTCGCTCTAGTTTGTACTGTTCGTATATTTGTGTGGTTTGTACTGATTGTAAATCCGGTTTGTATACTTCGTAATTTTTCATAATACCCAAACTACCCTGCCATTAATTAAATAGCCCTTCCCACTTTTTAACCATTGAATTGAAGTGTCCAGATCTAATGGCTAGGAGGGGCTTAGTCAAGTGACTAAGCATCCCCCTTAGTCACCAGATCCGCACTCTGATGGCTCCACGTGGCGACTCTGCAGTAGATTCAGGTCAAATAACTAGTATATGATTCATGTAAAGTAAATTAAGCAGGACACTTGACTCTTAAGCGCCACTAATAGGTAACATACAACTCTCTAATTAAAATATTAGCAACCTAATTAACCCTAAACAATTAGCAGACCTAATTAGATGCCTTTTCCGGGAAAAAATTAAAACTACCACTGTTTTATTTTTTTTTTACCAAAGTAGCACCCATTCCGAAGAAATTCCAAATCTACCACCATCCACATAAACCGCGCCACGAAGGTGCGGTTGTCATTCAAACCGTGCGGGCAAGGGGCGGTTTGTCATTGGGAAGCTGCCAAAACGCACCTCCATGTGGCGGTCTATACAACCGCGTGATAGGCAGGCGATCTGACGGTTAACCTCCTGCCAGCGGAGTGATCCGCGTCGTGGATTGATAACCGTTGCCCAAGGGCGCGGTTTGCGCATTGGGAAGTGTAAACCATGTGTCGGAGGCGCAGTTTTTGGTGGGGGTAAAAATACCAAACCGTCCCTCAGGACGCGGTTACGCCCCTATAAATACCCACCCCCTTTCTCTCATTTTCTTCACACCAAACCCAATCTCCTCTCTCTCTCTCTAAGTTTCTCACTCTATCAATCCCCCTCCCCACCCAAAAATCTTGGAAGTAGTTGTTTTGTTGGTTGCGGCTAAGTCCGATCTTCACTAGAAAACTGTTGAATCTCTGTCCGGATCCTAAACAATGGCCAATTTTGTCAAAAAAGAGGGTATTTACTGTTATGATTATCAAGCGGTACGTACTCATTTGACCCAATTTTTGTTGTTGTTATAATGGTATTATTTAATTTATATACTAATTGATTTATGTTGTTGTTATGCTATCGTAGGTTGGGCCGGATGTTGATATATACAATCAACGATATTACGTTGATCTAGTACCGATTGATCTGACTGTTTTATACGATCAATTCAATCATCGTTCAAGAGACGTTTGGAACGACCACAAGGTACATATTATTTATCATCACTTGTAATTTTTATTTTGTTAACATAATTTATTTGTTTAGTGGAGTAAATTACTTAATTGTTAATCGTATTGATTATTTTCAATAATTTAAATCAATACAATACAATACAATACACCACTTATTTATACTTTTTATAAAGAAATGCATGTCTAAGGAAATGGGGTCTTAAGCGATCATCATGATCCTCCCATGAGCTGGGATAATTGGGTTCTAAGAGATCCTCGGATCCCCCCTTTTTCTGTCAAACAGACTGTGTTTCTAATGAGATGTATACCTCTCCTAATAGTTTTACGAGTGTACTTGTATTGCTTTAAATTATTGAAAACAATCAATACGAAGTACAAAATAATATATTTGATTTTATGTGTATGTGTACAAAATAATTTTACTTAAATTTCGAAAATGGTATTCATTTTAGTTAATTGTTTTAGTTAGCTTAATATTAATGTTTATTAAATTATGTATATTTCTTGGAAACAACCTTGATTTCATTAATTTATATTGTTTGTTATAATAGATTTATAGATGTATAAATCATAAACTTACAGTGAAATGGCGCTTGTTACCAGGCACCGGCGACTGAATTTCTTCATCTTGGTAACAGGGAGAGAAAATGGTGTCAGGGTTAGACCCCTCCATAGCCAAAATCAATATGGGAAGGAATGTATATGATTCTTCCCAGTCACCAAACACGGCGGCCATTGCTTTCTGTTTTCCATGCCACGCCTTCTTGTAGTTAATGATAGAACCATAACGACTAGAAATGTCGGCGATGATGGTTTTAACCTTCACGTCGGGCTGCTCCTCAATTAGATGTTTGATAGCCGCGGCAACCACCCTTGATTTCAACTGTTGATGGCCTTGGGATGTTATTGATGACACACATTTGTATGTGTTCACAGCACGGGATATGACCCAATGGCCGACTCTCTTGTCTTGATGGCCCAGACCCTAGTCTTGCATCCCTAATTTTGATTTTTGCATCTAACCATCAGCCTCTTCATGTCGGAATGGGTTGTGTGCCATTCAAAACTCCGAGTCATTGCTTCAGTGGCAATAGCGTGCCGGACCTCATTCTTCGTTGCAAATTGTTGGCCCTTCGTAAGCCAGTGAGTGGACCCCATACTGGCACCTCTGGCGGTTCCATGTCGGCATCAACATACCAATATTCATTTGGAATGTGATTGTAGTACGAGATAGGTACACGGTCGCGAGGCACCTCATCACCATCTGCGTCAGAATCTGGACCGGAATCATAAGCACCTTCAAGAGGATCGAAGCTGTCTGCATTGACATCTCCTTGCTCTTCTTCAACCTCAGGGTCACTAACTAGACTTCGATTGACCTCTTCTTCCATCTGATGATCATCATGAAAGGCCCCCTTCACCTTCACCAGCTCCGTAAGGGTAGTTGTGGTAACTAACGTCGCTTTGGTAGAAGTTGGTACTGGTAGCCTGCTTATTGGTTCCCATCCGCCTGTTGAGCTTCTTCTTCATATGATGGGAAGGATTGATGATGACCTCCAGTTCCATCATGATACTCCTGCCTCCAACTCAAGTCTTGGTACTCCTGGTGGGCATGATATTCGTATAATACACTCGCACCGTGGATACCAAATGTTTGGCCATCTCTAGAATGACATACACCACCTTCGACCGCCTCGGTGTAAACGAACATCTCTGCTTGTTTAATCTTATTGGTGATAAAAAATTGGACCATGGCATCAACGTCCTCCTGAGTGGTAATGAGGAATTCCTCATTCCACAACGATCCGTCATGTCTGTTTGGATATCGATACACCATACGATCAACTCTTCTAGTGCCATCCATGCAGGTAACCTCAGTGCACATTTGATGGAGATCTTCAAGCATCGGTCTCGTACGGACCTTCATTTTATAAAAATTGCCACCCACGTAACTTACACCCTTTCCGGTCTCTTCCGTGTAACCATTCCACCGCAACCCGAGGGTGAACTTTTGGAATGCCATTTGCAATAAAACTGTAATTAAGTTACTAACATAAAAATCACAAATGACAATGAAAAGTAATACAAAACAAACTTACGAATTAACGCTAATCACAAAAACTAAATAATTTAAAGGTGCACAACTGAAATTTGAAGAAGAAGGAATGGAGTGAAGATTTTGAGTTTTCTGGACCTGCCTTTTATAGGCAAATTTTACACTGGAAACCGCTGGGGGTGAGCGGTTTTAGTTTGGCATGCAGCCCCCACCCCTGCAACCTCCAGCATGCCGACATGTCGGATGTCGGGTGACGAGGCACAAACCGCTGGGGGAGCGGTTTATGTGTTGACATGGTAAACCGCTTCCCTGTGAAGCATTTTACCTTGCCGACACATAACCGCTCCCAAAGGACGCGGTTTGTGCTAGGGAAATCATAAAAACCGCTCCTTCGAAGAGCGTTTTCCCAAAAAAGACAAACCGCTTGTCTAGCAGGCGGTTCCATGGTAAACCGTCGCTTGGGTGGGCGGTTTCTATTTTAACCGCCCCTGAGTAGAGCGGTTTTTAAAATAAAGTGGTAGATTTGGAATTTCTTCGGAATGAGTGGTACTTTTGTAATTTTTTTAAACAGTGGTAGTTTTTTGATTTCCCCCCTTGTTTCCTGCCTATGCCTAACCTCCATGCCTTTGCCACCTTCCACATGCATTGTTTATTAGTTCACCTAAAGAAAGGGTAATTCTTAGGTGTCGCGTTGGCACTAGTTGTGAAGATGATACATTATAACAAACCATGGACTCTAAGCTACACGAACTTTTTGTTGGTAAGAATTAAAATGATAATTCGTTCATTTCAATTATTCGAAATGATGTTATGGACCCAAAGGGTGGATAGACATAAACCAATCCCATGGAGAAACGCTAAAAGCAAGATAAAAACAGAGATGTAGAAATGATTGATTTCTGAACTATAATAATGACAATCTCTAATAAATCAGTTGCTATTATGTTCATCAAACAAATGTGGTTAGTTTGAAAAATCTCACCCAACTAACAATGGTATAAAGGGGGGAAAGTAAAAATATATAACCCCACATTTAAAAAAAAATCAACCAATGTGAACACTAATTAAAAAGTAAAAAAGGAAAATCTATCATAATTCTGCCACGTCATTTCTTCCAGGCGCAAACCAACAAAGAGAAGCCCTGAGGTCCACAACCCAACTCGCTCTCCTCTATGCTGGCCCACTCCATCACCGACGAGTTCGTCCCACCGACGACGTCGGCGACATCAAAATCGGCGACCAGGACGAACTCCTCGCCGCCGTCGTCCTCATCATCAACCCCTTCTTCACCTTCCTCCACTCGATCCTGTTCATAATCCCGAACTCGCCCCACGAGTTACCACCACTCTACCACGGCACGACGCCATCACCGCCGCTCTTCTCCGTCAGCGGCGTCGCTAACCCGCTTCCCCCTCCTCCGCTGCCGTCGCAATCGTACTCCTCTTCCTCGCCCTCAAACCTGAACATGAACACGGCGTGCCCGCCACCGCTCCCCACATCCTCGAACAGCCAATTGTAGACATCCCACGAGATCTCGATCGGGACCCCGTCCACCTCGACCCGCTCGATCCCCCTAAACTTCCACTTCAGCCGCTTAATCTGCAGCACCCTTTTCCCCTCGACGGCGAAGCTCAGCCTGGCGTCGCTCCCACAGTTGCAATCGATTGAAATTTGGCGGTTCCTGCCGTCGAATCTCGCCCTCGTCGTGTAAACCCGGTTCCCAATGACGTGTTCCCTCCTCAGAACCAGCGACTGGCTCGACCGCGGCCGCCGCACCGATTTGGGCTTCCCGCATGCTTCTCTAGTCAAGTCCCCGACGAGTAGGACGATTTCGCGGTTTTGCACGACGACGATGTAGAATCCGGACTGGGGCTCCTACTCGGATCCGAACTTGGCCCGGGAGAGGTTCCAGAAGATCTGGAACTCGGGGAGCGTCTTAGAGCCGTGCTTCTTCCAGAAGAAGAAGAAGGGCTTGATCTGGAGGTGGAAGGAGACGGCGGAGCACGTGGGGGGGGGGGGGGCGGTGGAGTGGGTGAGGGAGAGTGGTGAGCACGCACCGCCGTCATGGTGGGGGTGGCCGGTGGGGAGGAGGTCGAGGGAGTGGGAGAGGAAGGTGCGAGACCAGGTGAGAGAGAAGACGCCGAGGTCGGTGTGGTAGAAGCAGGTGTTGAGGTTGGGCGTGGCAGAGAGAGGCGACGGGGGGCGATGGTGGTGGGAGTCGGAGGCGGCGACGGAGGGGCGGAAGTAGGAAGGGGAGGATTGGGATATTTTGGTTGGTTGGGTATGAGAAATGGGATTAGATATTTTTCCCAATAAATCCGGTGGAAGCGGAAATTGATGGATTACTTGCAGAATTTCGTTTTTGTTTTCTGGGGGAAGGGGGATTAATCAGGAGAGCTTATATACTGGAGGGAGTGTCTGAATCCGAACTACTGAGTTGTCTGTCTTTCATTAGTGAAGTAGGATAAGGAAAGAAAGGACGAAGGATGGCCCAAATAGACTGAATCAGCATATTAGGGGAAGGAAAAGGATGACCGAGGAAGGATCCTGTGACTAAGGGGGTGCTTAATCAAGTGACTAACCTCCTCCTAACCCTTGGATCTGGATATATTAATCTAATGGTTAAAAGGTGAGAAGGGATATTGAATAAATGAAAAGGGTAATTATGGTATTATAATATTTCATTACTTTTTTTTATTTCTTGGTCACGGGCCAGCACCGCATGTCTTTTTTTTTTATAATTCAATTGGTTCTTTCTTTGTATTACATCGGGAGGAGGAAGAGAAAGCTTTTTATAACATCCCACTCACATGAGTTTACTTTGTTTTTTTATCAGTTTTTTCTACAAATGTGCAATCCATACCAGAAAAATATATAGTAAAAATACACCATGTACAAACATTATAATGAAAATGAAAAAATCAATAATATGTGATTTACAAATCAGAATATAAAAGTGTACAAATCATATCACAAATATGTACAAACTAATATTACCATGTATACAACATACAACTACTTACAATATAAATCGATGTGAATATCTTTACAAATCAATAATACAAAGTATACATACTCAATCATAAAATTATGCAAAGCAATATTAAAAAGTATTAGAATCACAAGATATAAGTATATAAATCAAGTTAACATTATATACAAAGATTACTAAAAACAGAAAATATCAAAACTGGATATTACAAAGTATACAGACCACATAGTAAAAGTATACAAAGCATACATATCAGAAGTATACAAACATTACAAACATGGTTGACAAAAATAACAAACATGTTGGACAAAAATAATAAAGCTTACAAACATTACAAAAATAACAAAGCTTACAAACTTTTAAAAAAATGACAAACGGTCCAAACCATACTAACTGTATAAAATACCACTACCTATAATACAAATCGATAAACTAGTATTACAAACTAATAAATACAAAGTATACAAAATAACAAACAAACAAACATTTCATAATAATATTACAAACAAACATAATAGATAAAAATGACAAACAAACATTATAGATACAAAGTAAACAAAATAACAAACAAACATTTCAAATTACAATTTATAAAAATTTGTCATATAATATTACAAACACAATAGATAAAACTGACAAACTAGAATAAGAAACGATACAAACATAATTAATTCGAAATTACAAACCAGACTTGCAAACATTACAGATTAGTTTGACAAACATAACCAACTGTCGCGGTCGCTGGAAAATTCACGGCGGAAAATCTCTCTCTCTTAACTGATGGGGAATTGCAATTGTTCCCAGAAAAAGGACTCTCTCTCGTAACTGGAGTTGGAAGTTGCAATTGTTCCCAGACAAAGGAAATAGCGTTTGCCAAGATGGAAACGCGCCGGGAATTTCCATGGCCGGCGGAAGGGACGTGGACTGGACGCCAGATATTTTTTTATTCAGTTTATAATTAAAAATTATTCATGCAATTACTATATTGTCCTTCATTAAACTGAATTAATTGAAACCATTAGATTTTAATGAGATTGAAGGGTTGAGATTGACTTAGTCATGTGACAAAGGGACTCCCCCTTAGTCACCTGATCTTATTCCAGGATGAGCGGATTACAAGACATGAGTAATAAACTTGCATTTACCATTTTATGTAAGCTTTTTTAATTCGATTTTGTAAGTATGATGTACACTTCGTGCTTGAAGGATCATATCACGGTACAACATTCAACATATGCCTATCCTTCACGAGTTTCAGCCAAAAAATCATTACGGTTGCATCTCCTATCTCCACCGGCCATTTCATCTGTTCTCGCCTTATTGTAGCCATTGCGCAGTCACCATTTCCGTCTCGGATGATCACGTCGAGCCTCGTCACTCGAACTGCAAAGATTTGCCTCATCGAAGTTCAATTTATAACAGACCATGTATGTGGTTTGTCCACGGTGTCACTTTGCATATGAAGTTGGGTCCCCGTTTCTTCAATTTTTGCAGCGAGCCCCTTAAGCTTTATAATGATTATCCAAGGCTTGTCAATTGACAACCCTTTTCCTAACTTGAATCCGCACATGAAAGCTATCACCTCCATTCCTCCCGTTTGGCGCTATTGAAAAGTTGATTGTTCCTCTCTCACCGAATCAAACAAACACTGCGAAATCCGACATACGAGCATTTGTCACCCAGTGGCGGATACATGGCACTTTGGGGGTGTCCCGTGGGACAGGTTACGGTGATTACATTTTAGTAGTAATCATCGTGGTTACTAAGGGTAAATTGGGTATGAAAAATAAATTGTATTAATTAATTTTTTTAATAAATTATATTTTAGGTAGTTACAAGAATCTATTAATTACAATTCTCTCTCTTTCTCTCACTTCCATAATCTTCAGCCAGATCCCATTTCCTTAGTTTTCTCAATCTTTCTGCAAAAGAAAAAAAAAAACCACGAAATCACTACCAATCCATTAGACAACCACTACCACTTTGAAAAATATCAATACCAGTGCAAAAATAAATCTATACCATTACACGAAAACTACCAATATAAATCTATACCATTTTCATAAAAAACCAATACCATTGCAGATTTAATCAATACCAATACATGCAAATTAATACCATTACATGATAATCAATACCAATGCAACAAAAATAATAACAATGCAACAAAATCAATACTAATGCGATAAAATCAATATAAAAACTACCATAACATGACAATCAATACCAATGTAAAAAAATAATACCAATATGAAAAAACCAGATCTGAAATCCGACAAATTGTTGGCGCCATGTCTTCACGGCGGAGAGATGAGGGGTGAGCGGTAGATTGGGGAGGAGGGGAGAAGAGCGGCAGACGGTGATGGGGTGGGGTTGGGTTGGGAGGGAGAGATAGAGGTGGAGGGTGGGTTTGGGAGAAGGCAGGGGAGAATGAAAGTGGTGGATGGGGTTGGTGGAGATGAAGGACGTGAAGAGGGATGGCAAAGGGTGAGAAAGAATGACGGAGGTTGGTCAGGTGGAGGGATGGCGGCAGGTTGGTTGTTCATCGGGATGGGAGAGGCAGAAGGGATTTATTAGGGTTGGGGATATATAATTATTTAGGGTTTGAGAATATATGGAAAGTTATATTTTAACGATATTAATTCGGTGTTGTTTTATATTTTTTTCCAAAATTAACCTTAATCAATCAAGGCCATTATTTTAAAAATATTGAGAATAAAGGGTGTAGATATAGGTAGCCACCATGGTTACTAAAAAAATAGTAACCATCCTAACTCATCCTGGTGTCCCGCGACACCCCTAAAATTTGGGAACACAATTATTCAATCCCCGATAGTAGTTTGCATATGGATGAAAAATATTCAAGTGATAGTGAGACACTCTTAAAATTTGGAAAAATGATTATCCAACCCCGAGTAGTAGTTTGTCTACATGTAAATAAAAATTTTTAAGTGGTAGCTTATGTGATTTGAACTTGGGTCACTTCTATTATGAGAAACATATTTTTCATTAGACCACAACTTATTTGTTCTTGTATTTTAAATCCAAATATACTAGTAAAAAGCTATTTCTTATCGCCAATTATTTTCAAAAGCTAACGATTAACCCAATTACGGACTCCCCTTGTCTAGTTGGATATATCGATATAGATTTGTAGAGCATTGTTAGACATCGAATATATTTTATAATTTTTCCTGAATACGAAACACGTCATGTGTTTTGTTCAATTTTGTATAAATCATATATTTCTTATTTAATAATTATTGATTATTAATTAAATTAAATTTTTAGGAGAGGACACCCTATGTAAAATTTCTGAATCCGCCACTGATGTCACCCATTTCGCAACCTTGCACCAGCAAACTCCACAAGCTTTTACGAGCATCGAATTGTACGATATAGAGAGTTAAGAGAAGATAACATACAAAAAACAGTTGTGCTCGAAGTGTTGATGACGAAAATTTGGCACGCTGGCACAGGCATAGGCGCACATGGTTTTATTATTGAGCATCGTACACACAGGTAGAAGAAGATACACAGCCGCAGAAATGAGTAGAAGCAGCATGCCCACAGAAAAGACCAACCAAGAACAACAACAGGCACGCAAACGAACACATGCAGCACATCAATTGTCACACTACGGGAAAAAGGACTTCTTGCAACACTATCTAAAAATGTTGCCATAAGTATACAATGCCAACACTTTTTTCTAGTGTTGCAAATTAATAGTATAGGCAACTAAAATTAATTACTTAAAACAATATGTTGCATTTAGTCCCTTATCGGCAACACATATATGCAAACCACTTTAAAAGTTGCGTATTTATATAGTTTATCGGGAAAATAATTATTGTACTATTCCTTGTGTTTTGTACAAATAAATTATTTGATAAAAAACAATTGAACTCAAGGAGTGAGAAAACTCACCTTCTTTCAAGAATTCAACTTTGCCAAAATTCAGTAAATATATTTCTCAAACTCTGAAATCGCCGCTCGCGAAATTAATCTTCCCGCGCAATCCTCCTTATGGTAAATTCACAAGCAACAGAGAGAGGGGAGATCAGTCAGATTAATCGTAGGGATTCGATGATCATCAGACGACCGCGGCTTTCTTTCCCCGCTCCCATCATCCGTCTCTGATGATCTCTTCTTCTCTCTGACCGTCGACTGCCGCACCTTTGCTACCGTGGGTTTGCCAGTTCCCCTTTGATTCTTTTTTTGTTTCAACCCTTCTTCTTGGTTTGATTCTTGAGTTAATGAACAATACATAGTGAAAATTCAGTATTGGCATATGTTGGCAATTGATGCTGAAGTTCCTGTT